GACATAACTATAAAATTCGGGAACTGCTATGGCCTGGTTGATACTCAAAATTATGAGCAGAATCAGATGAGGAGGTTAAACAGGAAGTCGACGGCTTAAACATCCCTAAATCAGGAGACAAACATCTCCATATCCATCCGCTTCAAAGAAAATGTTGGCATGATGGTTGAAAACCCACCGGAAGGATGACAGCTGAGAAAGGAGCGAAGGGGCCTGAGGAAAAGCTTTCTTTCAGAAAAGTATCGAGCCATGTATAAAACAGTTATGGAGAGCCCGCTAAGTAAGTAGCAACCCCGAATCTCCTCTATAGCGCCACCGACGCAATGGAGCACCGGGTGTGGCTTGACACGGGGTGTAGTTACTAAACGGGCGGTTTGTTGGATGCTGTTTCCACGAAATGGGACGTTAGTTGCCACATGGGTGCCGTCCGCGGCCATCTAATAAAGGTTCCGTCTCAGTTTTACATTTGTATTGCTGGCGCCACAGCTATTATAAAAAGTTTCTTGCGACCGTTAGTAACTCTTAACGTGCGTCCTAGCATCATGCCCAACGTAAAGGTTTGTGACTGCCATTCGGACATCAGGGTACCACTGGTGAGGCTGTGCGAGCAAGTGACAGCGAGGGACGGTAAGTACCAGCCAGTTTTAACGTCGACTTTTCGGATTTATTTTACCTTCGGCAGCACGGCCCAGGTCCGCTCGAAAAGTATCGCTTTAGCAGGCTTATATTTGTGTGGCCATCGATGGCATCGCCATAATTTTTAGCAGCAAAAGGCCCACTTATTTCTAAGTTGTAGCATTTTTAACACAAATGCCCTTATTTCATCAGGTGATGGGTTTGTGCAACATGGCAATACGACTATGACTAGTTAACTTCTCCATTCGATTGACGTGAAAACGTGACATTTTGAAGACGCGGACAAGCTAAAGGACTTGAATCTGAAACAGGTTTACTTCTCGAACCAGTCACCTATCTGCAAACGTACTCCAGTGCAACACGTCTTGGCCTAAACCGAAAGAGATTGGATCATGAGAACTACATAGACCAGGGACGGTGGTTTAGCGGGGGTTGGGGGAGCTGTGGCCCCAAGTCCCGACAACACCGCGTTTTAATCCCAATTGCTCTTCATTAAGAACGAGGTAAAAATCGCGCTTTCCCGCCCCCCTTTTCGCAGAGGCTTCGCCACCACTGGCAGGTAAATGCTAAGTTTATTGCAGCCAATAGCCATCCACAATATTAACCCCTTTCGATACCTTCGGCACAGTTACCAAGAATTCAAACATATGTTAAATATGTTTTCAAATTAATTCCCATCCACTAAGTTTGTTACACATTGGGAGGTCCAAAACCATCCAGTACTTCAGTCACATATATCTAACGTGCGAACGCCAAACATAATTGCACACCCGTCTGGCGAGCTAAGAAGTTGGATATTTCAACGCATTGATAACCATCTGTAATCGGATATCTCATCTGTCGTTGTCGGATATTTCAACGCATTGATAATCCAATGTGTTGAGTACGCCACACGCCTATCACGTTCCTCCCAGAACTTGCCCACATCATATCTAAAACAGTCAAGGTATCAATATTACAAATAAGCATGCAAATTTGTATGCGTTAAACATGTTTTTTGTACCATTGTATGTGAAGAAATGTTGCACGATCTTTGTGCGGCGCATAACAATAATGCCACAGCCAGGCCTCTCGTTGAATGAATTTTGCACACAGAGTACCTAAGAACAATTCTGAACCAATCAGTGTGTCTGAATGTCATGAAATGCCTTGTGTTTCATGTCTCCTTTTGAAACTTTGAGGCAACGAGTGGCGCACTATGCTCAGCTATCCGCATGTTTGAGCTACAAACCGACGTAAAGCCCGCTGGTAAGTGCTGGGTGAAATGCTACGGGATGGCGGACCAAAGAGCTACGTCTCACAGCGGAGACGGACGCGGAGCACTTTAACACGGCGACGAGCTGCGCGCGACGAATCCAACGCGAGCTGATTACCGTTTGCTGGTTCAGCACGCACGCAAACCACCAGTAAGCCAGCCGTGACGGCCTCCGCGTCTCGACACCACCTGAGCGCAGACCTGAGGAGACCTTGGCCGGCCAGATGGGTGAGCCGCCGCCGGCTGCGCCTGCCGCGTGTGGCGGCGGCCTGGACCCGGGCGCTGCCGTCGGCCGGCACCAGCCCACCGATAATGGCCGGCCAAAACAAACTGGTCGCTCCGAGGGCCGACAGACAGCGCCATCGCTCAACCGAAGCCAGAATCCATCGCCGCCGGACATTTGCTGATTGAAGCTTCGAGGAGGTGGCCACTCATTGGCTCCCTCAACGGTTTGCGCTGCGAAGGTGTTGACGGAGGCCTGGAGGAGCGGTCAGTCTTCTTTCTCTCTGTCTCTCTCTCTCTCTCTCTCTCTCTCTCTCTCTCTCTCTCTCTCTCCCTCTCTCTCTCTCTCTCCTCTCTCTCTCTCTCTCTCTCTCTCTCTTTTTCTTTCTTTCACTCTCTGTCACTCTCTTTATATCTGTCACTCTCTCCCTCTCTCTCTCTCCCCCTGTCTCTCTCTCTCTCTCCTTCCCTCTCTCTTGGTTACTTCCATCAGTGTTTTTTTCTCTTGGAAGCATTGATGGAAGCCGCGAGGAGCGGTGACCGGCTCCCGGACCGTTTACACGGCACTGGTAGCAGTGAGGGTCACCGTCGCTACCACTAGCTTTATCGGCCGTGGCTAGGCTGATCATGCAAGGAAGCATTGGGAACTAAAAATTAGTGAGATACCTGGTGGCACGCAGTCCTTCGCCACAGCTGGTCAGCCACAGTCGTACTTGTCGTCGTTGGGATAGGATTAGAAGCAATGGCATTCACTTTCCCAGACATTTTGCAGATGACCGACCAGTTACTGAATCCATTCATGACAAAATCCCTTGTATAAATGCCGTGGTGAGTTTCTGTGCGACGTGACCAGTTGATCGCTTGCGGATTTCACCTTCGACGACTACCATCGGGCGTTTCCAGGCAGGCCTGCGAAATGTGCCAATAGGCCCGCTGTTAAAGGGTCATGGCAAAGCCATCTGGATAGTGGGTTTCAGTCAGCAAGGCAATGGCCGCGATCCGTCGCTGGTTACCAAATAACCTGATGCTACCAGTCACCAGCCGGGCTATTCGTGGAACTCAACCCCCAAGGTTTCGGAATCGCTCTGAAAGTTCAGAGTTGCTTCATTCAGTGGGGCGTTCGATGTCGCCTAGCCGTGCCTGGGTACTGCGCTCGCTGGCCGGCGTCGCGCCGTCGCCGAGCCGTTCGTCAAGACCACAGCGTCGTGCACGGCGGTCGCGCTGGCCGCCAGCGTCGGCCGGCTGCCATACATCGACGACGTCGCGGATGACGGAACGCAGGGCGTGTGCCGTGCCTGTCGCGTAACGAGCTCCGGTATTCGACGCACGAGGCTCCGCGTCCGACGCTGGCTGTCCACCACGCAGCCGGCGCCGACGGCCGGTGGTCGTCGACGAGCCTGCGCCACTGTGTATGTTTACCGGAGCGGCAGTCAGGGAGGCGGGGAGGCAGGGAGGTGAGGAGCGCGGAACTAGGAGCAGGCACCGACTGGACATGGTCAGCAGTGCCTGCGGCGTCTCTTGGATCAAATGGTCAGCTCTGTCTGCGGCGCCCCTCGGCCCGAATGGTCAGCTCTGTCTGCGGCACCCCTCGGCCCGAATGGTCAGCTCTGTCTGCGGCACCCCTCGGCCCAAATGGTCAGCTCTGTCTGCGGTGCCCCTCGGCCCGAATGGTCAGCTTGCCTGCGGCGTCCCTCGGCCCGAATGGTCAGCTCTATCTGCGGCGCCCCTCGGCCCGAATGGAGATCTCACCACTCGGTGAGGCCGTTTCAGGGCCGTTTCCAAAGCAGAAACAGCGGGCTTGGTTTGATCGGGCACACATCACGTGCGCTTGGGTCGCATGAAATGGTCCCATGGTCAGGTGCAATCTGTCTTGTAAGTATACTTAACGTGGAGTGGTTTGAACAACAATATGGAACGAGCATACCACCCAGGCGCAATCTGAGTCCGACTCGCTGATAAGCTGTACGGTTCATCGGATATTGTCGACTTAACATCGGCTATAACTCCATAATGCAGGGATCGATTTGCTGCGGTCAGCAAAAGCGAGGCCATTAACTATTTTGCATTCGCTTACGCATAGACGGACCTGTACGGCATACAACCGTAGCAAGCGATTGCGGGGTCTTACAGCCATGAGGAATCGACTCAGTGTGTCACAATCGCAACAATGGTCTTTTTGGAGCCTGCAATTACCTAGCCGTAATTACCTGGCTGGACTGTTGGAGGAGTTCATCGATCCCCGACCCCCTTATGGCGCAGCGCTACGCCAGTTACAAACGGCCTGCAGCTTTCACCGCTTAAACTGGTGTGAACAAGAAGTGAATTTCCTTTCCTTCGTTTATTTTCCAAATAAACTTTGAATTTTTGGTGGACGGGACACTGGGTCAAGTGTTGCATGTCTATGGAAACTCGGTGCCCGAAATACCTTTACTGGCACTCAAGTGGGACTTGTTTAAATCGCCGTCACACGTCACATGCCTCACGTGTATCACATCACCATGGCATCCCTAGGTCGGTTGTCACATCACCTTGGCCGGTTGTCGGTCGACCCACGGGTGGAGATCACGCCAGGTACTAGGCTCCGAGGCTCTCGCGGGAAATAACAGTCGTGTCCGTTAATGTTGCATACGTGATCTGATAAGCACGGCTGTTACGCATGGGGCGAATTCGCTTTAATGCTTCGCTTCAAGACTTCCAAAATAAGACAACGCTGTATCGGTCAACCTCTGTCCCCCGTCCCCAAGTCCATCCATACACGCTCGCACCGAGTCTATGGATTACCATCTGTCCGGATGACACACTCGTACGCAGCAACGCCTCACCTCGTGTCTCCGGAGCCGCCCCCTTCCCCCCCCCCCGTGACCCGTGACCCGCGACACGCCCGCAGGCTACGGCAACATGGCGCCGCGCACCACGTCCGGCCGGCTGTTCTGCATGCTGTTCGCGCTGGTCGGCATTCCGATGACGGTTTCGGTGATCGCCGACCTCGGCGCGCTGTTCGCCACCTCCGTGTCGGCGCTGTACGCGCGGCTGAAGCGGCGCTGCTCGGCCGGCGGCGGCGGCAGCGGCGGCGGCGGCGGCGGCAGCGGCAGCGGCGCCAGGCCCGGACACCAGCTGACGGAGCGTCAGGAGCGCGCGCTCACGCTGCTGGTGGCGCTGGGCTCGCTGGTGCTGTACATTGCCGTCGGCGGCGGCCTCTTCCTGCTCTGGGAGCAGTGGACCTTCTACGAGTCGTTCTACTTCTGCTTCATCACCATGACGACCATCGGGTTCGGCGACTTTGTGCCTGGTGAGTGTGATGGGGAGGGCTAATGAAGTGGGGTGGCGGCGATGGATGGCAGCAGGGAATGGTGCGGGAATTTTTAACGAAGGGATTCGCGGTTGGTGGCGTGCTAATTGCGAGTGAGGAACTAATTGAATTGCTACTCGTCTCTGACAAATCGCTTTCAGGCAGTGTTCCGAATCGGAATTCTTTCTGATCCTTCTGCAAGCACGCGATGCTTAGTACTGACAACAGTAGCCGAGGCCAGCTGACCCCTGACCTCGACCAGCCCGTGACCTGGCTGACCCCGCGGCCGCTCGGCAGAGAACGCCGAGTACATGCTGGTGTGTACGGTGTACATCCTGGTGGGGCTGGCGCTCACCACCACCATCATCGAGATCGTCCGTCGCCAGTACGCGCAGTCCTGGCGCCAAATGAAGATGCTCTCCTCCAGAATCCAGGTGGGAAACGAGTGTAAAAGCTGCTTCAGCACTGGCAGTGCGAGCGCTGGGTGTTTCCTTTAAAAGCATTGCGAGGATGATGCAGGACACATTTAAGTCTGAACCAAACAATCGCCATTGCAGCTATGATTGGGGGCCGAAATTACGAGAAGTAGCTGCGAATTCCAGCATTATCTCGGTGTAAAATATAATCCACAGCTAGAAACACTTATTCAGAGCTTCAGCTCGCTCAGAGGAGAGTAATGGAAGGCATTGTGTTCATAACTACATATATATATATATATATATATATATATATATATATATATATATATATATATCGACGACGTATGAAACTTATGCCTGTTGTCGCTGGCTACACTTGCTCCCAAACTTGTCTAAGCCGACGGCAGGAAGGGCTCTTAATTTCTCTCTTAAGTTGAACACAGGATCAGTCATTCAATTCGGGCTAATTATGTACATGGTTTACTGGCGTTGCGTGACGCCTTATTCCAAAATCCATCACAGCCCTCTTGTGATGTCTTAATGGCGTGGCTTACTGGGGGTGTATCAATGCAGTGCTGAATGTGTGGCGCCACTAGTTCCTTTCACTGGGCGAAGACCAGGCCTATTTGTTGGAAGGAATACCACTACCCGTTTATGATTGACATCCTTGTTCTGTAGACCGGGTGCAAATGCAAATACTTCCACGATGTCAGTTTGTGCAAAAAGTGCAGCAATCCGTATCAATCATCAATTAACCAAATGCGCCAAAATCAGCTGGCAGCAGAGACTTTGAAATAAAGAATATCTCCTCATTCCTGGCATTGATCTGACGTAACATTCCACTCTTCGCCCCGTCGTGGCCGGCTGCCGCACGTTGGTCGTCGCTGACCTGTGTTTGATCGACCCTCCGCGGCCTGTCACCCTCCGAGCCGCCGGGTTCTTACCGTCGGACCCTCACCGGACCTCGGGCGCCCGCAGAGCCTGTCCGGGCCGCTGGCCGAACACCTGAAGAAGCTGGGAGAGCACGGCCACGGCGTCACCGTCGACGTCGACCTGGTTCGCGAGCTCAAGGAGCTGCGCAAGACGATGGCACATGCCAAGCTGAAGGATAGTCTGGGATGGGACGACGCCGAGCTGGACGCACTGCAGCCGTCACCTCCGCTCTTGCAGATCGTCATCTACGAGAGTAACGTCTGACGCGTTCGTGGCGTAGCCATCGTCGGAGACGGTGCTGGGGGCGATCCGAGCGTGTGAGAACGGCAGTCGGTGCCAGTGGAGCTGTAGCCTCAGCGTTGGAGGCGGCACGAGCGCGGGGAGCGGCGGGCGGTGCCGGTGGAGCTGTGGCCTCAGCGTTGGAGGCGGCACGAGCGCGGGGGCGCGAGGGACAGTGCCGGTGGAGTTGCGGCCTCGGCGCTGGAAGTGGCTCGAGCGCGGGCGGTGCCGGTGGAGCTGCGGGCTCAGCGCTGGAGGTGCCTCGAGCGCGGAGGAGCGGCGGACGGTGCCAGTGAAGCTGCGGCATCGGTGCTGGAGGCGCCCCGAGCGCGGAGGAGCGGCGGACGGTGCCAGTGGAGCTGCGGCATCGGTGCTGGAGGCGCCCCGAGCGCGGAGGAGCGGCGGACGGTGCCAGTGGAGCTGCGGTCTCGGTGCTAGAGGTCCCCCGAGCGCGGAGGAGCGACGAACGGTGCCAGTGGAGCTGTGGCCTCAGCGCTAGCAGTGGACTGAGTCGGGACGGGGTCGGTATTTGAGGACCCTATCGGTGCTGAATCGCGTATGTCCGCTCGTGGACCTGTGCTTGCTTGGCACTGGAGCGCGGTGGATCGTTACGGCTCGGGGCGGATCGGTACGGAATGAATTGACGCTAAATCAGTGCTGGGTTGGCGCCGGATTGGTGCTGCTCTGTATGGTTGTTGAACCAGCGGTGCGTGAGGTATTATCGGACGGGAAAGAGCGTTCTGAAAATGGCGTTCAATCGCCGTGTGCTTAGATTGTACTCCGAGTCGCTGGTCGCGACGAGGTATGAGGGAACGTTGTTCCAAAGCGTCGACAACCGTGTGTACCACTGCCTCGCTCGCCATCCGTTCCCTTAGTCGCTTCTGCTTCAGCGCATTTAGGCAGACGGAGGCAGCACACGCCGGATGGCTTCCTTGCAATGCTAGGCAACTGTCACCCGCTCAAGTTAGTCGACGAAGTGCTCACCATCAATGGTGGCCGGCCTCCGTCGCTGATGAAGACTGCTTTGTGTAGGGCTGCCTAAAAACCTTTGATCTAGAAACGCTGCATTTCGTGGGGATTTTCGTCGTCCAGCAATTGGTCAACATTTAGTTTCAATATTTTTGATATTTCTTTAAACATGTTTGGCTCAAACTGGCGCTTTTTGGCGGTCAGTTGAAATGACGCCAATATCACATTAGGACATTTTCACTTCAATAACGTCCAAGCGAAAGAACAAGTGCGAGTGCGGCGGCTATCTGGTTGTTAAGTGTCCTGCATATTTTGGGATTTTTCATGTTCTTTTTGCAAGCGCATATATATATATATATATATATATATATATATAATGTAACTGACTGGTCAAGGCCGGTATATGTATCAGGGCGGTCCTGTGCAGTGGTATATAACATAGATATATGCATATATCTACTATACTATATGCATCGTATTTCTTGATGAGAAACCAGCTTTTGCGGGTAACTATGTGAGACATGACAAACACCGAAGCATGACGCTATCTAAGTACAAGACCGGAAGCGATAGTCTGCTGAACTGGAGCTGAGCTTCTCGAGTGGCAAGCTCGAGGTCTCCACAACACGTTTCGTGTAGGTGCTTTGGACCCAGACCTCCTCACACAAACTGTTCAGACTTTACGCGGGGAGCTTCGTGAAATTAAGAGTGTCTAGTCAAAGGTTTTCATAAGCCCAGCTTCCCCTGCCCAGTGTGCCCGGCGCCGCGTGTTCGTGTGCGAATGCCTGCTCGAGTATGACCTGGGGGACGATGAAGTCCTCAAGCGCTTTCACCGACAGGTCATCGTGTTATGGTTCAGAATATAATATACTTAACTTATTGGGCATATTTGCCTGCAGTCAATGTTTTTTTTTAACGCCGCACCGTTTTCCGACCACTGCAACGATAACGGAGTGATGACCATGGACTTAAACAGCCGAAGACCTTTCCCTCAGCTAGGACTTTGTCTTATCCAAAAAGTAGCCCGCAGCTAAGGAAAATCAACACAAACACACACACACACACCCACACACACACCACACACACACCCACACACACACACCACACACACACACACACACACACACACACACCCGCACCCACATAAAGACCCACACCCACACCCATATATATATATGAAGCTTCTCGCGGCAGGCGGTCCAATTTGGTCAAGCGCATGATCTGCCGACTGCACTCGCGAACCGAAAACGCAGTGTGATTCACTAGTGTGGACTTCTTTGGTGGCAGTTGGGCATTCTCATTTAATTTTCAAAGTTTAAGGATGTAACGAATGGCATTAAGAATTTCAAAGCTTTCTGAATTTTTTTCTCTGAGCGTGGCGAACTTTTCAGCTTAGCTCGCGTAGGTGTTGTCCTTAAAAGTGTGCGGAGCTAGTAATGGTTTTGGTGCGGCATGTCCTGAAAAACACACCTACCTACCCATGGCCCGTGGTAAATTGTTTTATCCCAACTCGGCCACGAATCCTCTCATCCTGCTTCGCAGCTAGGTGTCTGCACGGTGTAGTACGAGGAAGTCTCCTAGCCCATTTCCAATTACTTGAACCAAATGAGTCATGCCATCAAAAGCACAAAAATGAAACACATCGACGATTGCAGACAAACTGATATAGATGACCAAATAAATATTCCGTTAACTTAATGCTTGTCTACTTTGCACTTAACTTCGGACCGTGTGTGTTTATTTTCGGAGCTGTTCCTTAGGTCACTGAACTGTGATGGGTAAAACCATGCCTAGTTAAAAAGCTTAAGTTTTCTCTAGATTTGCAGACGAAACAAATCGCTGTCAGTCTCAGGTAGTGCAAGATGTCTACAATTGGCTGCGATTTTGTTTTTATGGCCAAGCCACTAGCTTTGGGCCATGTTATATTTGCATGATTTACCGTATATCTATGGGCGGGGATGGAAAAAATCGCATTTGTTCGCCTTAAAACTGATGACATGGTGTGCCTAGAATCCTGGTAAGATGAGCAAGTGCCACTCAGGCCAATAAACCTAGGTCAGGTCACGCATCCCATCGGTTGGAGGCATTGCTATTGTGAACAGCAAGTGTTCTTCATGCGGCGTAGGTAAACGGCTTTGAGAACGTGGTGTGCCGGTATTTCATGGGATAGTTCTCGGTGCAAATACCTAAACCATGAGCAGACTTGACTTGACCCCACCGCTCTTGATTTAAGTTTTACTGACCTAATCTTTTCATCCTTTTGAATTGGTCATTTTTCGTCCCGCCGTTTTTTCTAAGCTCAGTGCCTGACCGATCCTGGACTCAGGAGCCACACGACCTAGGTCAATTCACAAAGTTCACAGGGCTTATCTGGCGTTTGATGAAGTACCGTTAAACTGAACATGCTTAACTCTCAAGATGGTTTTCTGTGGCTCGTGTGATACGAGCTGAGATATTTGACGAGTGACCTGTCAAAGATCAACATTAGTCGATCTGGTCTTTAACCTGGTCTCACTTTGGTTGATAAAAATGTTCCCTTCCTATCAGCGGGATGCCAATAGTGTAGTGGTTAACTCGTCCGCGTTAATCACTGCGTGTCTGGGAAACCAGAGGTGCGGGGTTCGATTCCCCGCGGTGCCCGCCTTTCCTGTTAGGGTGAGAGGTAGGCAACGCCATATAGCCTCAATAGCTGAGTGCGTCATTAAGTCCTAATGACGGCGATGACCTTCCTGTCAGTGTGAGAATTGCACCCTTCCCATCCGAATGATTTCGGACTTTCTTTTTGATCGCTTTCCGACCTAAGTGTGTCAAAAATGTTCTAGGAATACCTAGCTAGGTCCATCCCGGAGTACTAGTTAGTCAGAACGCCCACCTCCCAATACATCCAGCCGTGGCGTGGTGTGTTCGAGTCGCTTTAGGTGCTTGTTATTTACCCTTGCTAATAAGATCCTAACTTGTCCTCGTGACGTTGAGTTCCAAACTATGCCGTTAAGAGGATACATACGTCTTTTGTTATTATGCAGTTCAGCTATAATGCCTCATAGCGTCGTATTTCGTACAGTAAATACTTAAATAAGGATGCAATATGCTGTAAGAAACAAGACCTTTCTCGGAGGGAGTCATTCTTCGAACAATCATGCCCGTCTCGAGTGTTAGTATGCACAAAGTGCACCTGTTAACACACTGGGCGGCAATAGTAGCTCGAACAATTGCTTCACCCGTAACAATACTACCTCGTCTCAGTCGATCAGTTGGTGCACTATGAAAGTCCGTTAAAACTCCCTTGCCTTATTGGTCGGCCCACTCATTCCCCGTGATACATCCATGGTCTGGAATCCGCACAAACGTAGTAATGTACATAGACTACAACACAGATTTACGATCCTTACAAGGAGGTGGCATTACAGCAATGAGACTTGCAATCCAATAACTAAATCATAGCGCCATAACCGAGCACATGAATGCAAGCTGACAATATAAGACCTAGGATTTATATGAAAGAACACGAGAAACGGCCAAAACACGTGCACACGGCGATATTTGGGTCCCAGACACACAGCACCCATCACCACAACACCTCTCGAAAAGTTGAAGTACTACAGGTGAATCAGCCCATATGCTAGGGTGGCAATTTCTCACGGCCGGTTTGGCAACCACTCAAATGTTATGCAAACGTTTAATGACATAATTAAGCGCTAACGATTTGAGGAGCAGACATTTACTAATTAGTGTCTTTTTGTCTAGAGCAGTCTTTTGCACTTAGATATGGATCTAATGCTTGTTTTAATATCTCCAAATGTGAAACATTCCCCTTCAAGAAGACCGGAACCGAAAGTGTCATGAAGGCTCTCAATACAGCCGGTACCCGCCACGACAGCAGCGTTTTTGTTTCGGCATCATGTGCCTACTCCTCCTCTCACGCTTTTTTGGCTCCACGGAAGCAAATTTGCGGCCGTAAACTGACGAAGAGGTACATGATGACTAAACAAAAACGCTTCCGCCGAAAAATTACCGGGTATGTTGATAGAGTTGAAGCCAAGCACCGGTTTGCTTTTGTCTTTCCAAGCTTTCGTGGATTTCGGATAAAGTGTTAAGTGAAGTTCCTGTCTAATGCTGCTAGCGTGGACAGGTCAACGACATCTAGCATGCAACAACTAACAGCACTTGCTTTGATAGTTTTAAGTCACAAGCGTGCCAACGGCACGTTCCGCACAATAGATTGCTTGTTGCTACCACTCTCTCATTAAACGTCACGCGAACAATTCGGTCTCCTGAGTATACAGCAATTGAAGTGAATATGAAAGCAGGTACCTGCATGAAGGTGGATGGGGTCGTATAGGGACACATATCAAGGGCTTGCTGCAAGTATATCCAGACATTCTTCAAGTCCCCTAAATATTTTCGGAAAATATTCTTTTGTATTTCAGAGGACCCTGTTTATTCATTTTTTCAAGCTTAAGAATGCACACCGCTGGGCAGTGACTGACTGGCAGGTGCTGGCATGACATAAAATAGATGATTCCCATGAAATCGGGCGAGTGAATTTTGGCGTGAAAAAATCTCAGTGAGTTGAGACCATTGGGTTTTTGGCCTAGTAAACTTTATATTATGCTACCAATATAATTTCCAATGTATTGTTGCTCACATTTGTTAGCGCGCGCTGTTTTGGATCGCGTAAATTCCATTGCATGGAAAGGTGACTAGCTGCACGAGATGAGTCAAAAGATTGTCTTTTAGGACACTATGGCGTGCTCTTGCTTGGTTCTTAAGCCCATAGTTCCATTCGGAGTCAGATGTGCCTGCCATTCCCCAACACAGCGTATTCGTGCAGGTTGTGCTCTCCCGATGCGGATAAAAGCCCTAGGACTTTAAGGGCACTTTACTCAGACCTAATCATGGACCCGCCAAATCGTCTCTACATGCCATACCAGTTTCATGCAGTGTCCACCGACTGCGGCAACGATGAAGTAGGAGCCCATAAGCATCACAGTTGTGTTGGCAACATAATAATACAGGAAAGCTTAAGAAGCTTCCACAGCCACACCTTCTCATATTTCAACGCGTCGCCTGAAAGCCGAGGCCATAATTGAAAGACACGCTTGCTGCATGTTGACTTGACTGGCCATCTCATTTGAAAACGGCTAATATCGGTGCGGCGCGAACGCCTGCTATGGCTCAGTTCTGCCACTGGTGGTGGTGGCTGAACGGCGGGATGTTCCGCGCGCGGGATTCGAACACAGACCTTGACGGTCACGAGCATGATGTGCGAGCGTCGGCGTCACTTCCGATTCATCTAGGAGACATCGACTTAAAGGCAACATCATCCAAACACTCCCGTTCGCGCAGCGCAAGCCAGTTAACTATTTTTTTGTGTCCAGAATTTGGGAGAAAACAAGCTTCCAGTTCAATCAACAGGGCAAAGTAGGCTGATACGGTCGCTGCAAAAAAATTGATGACGTCCGTCGTGACTGAAAACAAAAGAATTGTCCTTAGATTGCCTTGCCGTAGCTCGAGCCTCATCGATTCCGCTGACGTTGATTTTGTCATCAAGACAAGCGGTTTCGCATCCAGCGAGTGTGGCGGCTATTCGATCAACATGCACTAATCCCTGCTCCCCTTCCCTTTCCTCAATTATTGATATAACAATTAACGGGCTGCAAACATTCCAATCTCACTCCAATAGCGTTCAAAGGTGGACAGCCAAGGCATGGGAAGTGACCTAACGGCACTTGAGTCCGGGCATTTTGGTCGAGCTTTTCTGGGCGATGATAAGCCTTTTAGTCCGAAAACTCGATTTATTTTTTCAGACAAAAATATTTGCCGCGCCTCTTCTGGCGTCATCTGTGGAGCTTCAGG